TTACCTATGTGCAGTTTAACGGTATGCAGTTTAGATTTATACAGTTTTCAAATTAAATTTAATAATTTTATTATTAAAATTTGCTTGTATGCAGTTTTCCAGTATGCAGTTTATTGTGGGCAGTTTTCCTGCATACAGTTGAATTGAGGGCAATTGATACCGCCCCATTGTTTTAATATCTGTAAGCAAAGAAAAAAGATGTATTCTTAATATTGAATTTAAAAAAAACAAATTTAGAATAAAAATTGATTCAATTAAAGAAAGAAAATTCACCTATTATAGGAATAGATGCTGCTGTAGTTGTTAAAGCCGCTGACACTGCTAATGTTGCTGTAGATGCTGAAGTTGTTGATACTGTCGATTATGTTGGAGTTACTAATGATGATGAAAACTGAAGCAGAAGTATATAGTTAGACATTGTTTACGTTTACAGCAGAGCGCGACGATGTTAAAATTGCTCTATTGTCTTTAATTTATTATTAAATGGCGAGATATTTTCCAAAAAACTTCCTAACATATTAATGAACATTTTTGTCGCTGAAAGTTTTCTGAAAACAAAAATTCGTCACTCAACTTTTTCAATTGAAAATAGGAGAATCATTTTTCCGACAAAATTATTTAAATAATTATTTACCTTGACATACAATTTTTTTTAAATTTCCAAATATTGTTTCAGTCTTGGAATAGTTTGAAGAATATTGTGTGTAAATTTCGTGGAAAAATATTAATATTTAACGAAGTAGTCACGAGTTGAAGTCAAAAATTCATTAAAATTTCTCAACTCAAAAAATCACGTTTTTTTCAATTTACGTGCAAACGAGAAATTGAGCACCTGGATCGTAGAAGGGCACGTAAATTTTTCTCGGCCGAAATCGAAATCCCCTGGACACTCAAAATTCAACTTCTGAATTTAGACATTTTAAATATACATCTTTATAGAAAATTTCATTGCGCATCTTTTTTTCTTATGAAATTTTTTTGTATCTATTACCGTTTTCGAAATATTTGAGAAAAATTGATTTTTTGAAAACTGCAAATTTAATGACATTTTTCACTTCAACTCGCGATAATTCAGATGATTTTAAATATTTTTCAATGTACCAAAAAAGAAAATACGTCTAAAGATATTCTACAAATGATAAAAAAGGAAAAAAATTATTTTCTTTATAAACAAAATTGTTATTAATTTTTGTCTTTATTAATGTAAAAAACATAAAATACAATCTTCTCGGTTCTCGTTTAACGGGCGAATTTTAAGTAACAAAGAACTTTCAGTGAGAAAGTTATTCATTATGGACCAAAGAGGTTTTCTGGAAAATCACAGGGTTAATAATTAATTACTGTTGAAATGGTGAATGTTTAAAGTTGATACCGTCCGAACGTGTGGCATGCGCGATGGCCATAACCTATGAAACGACACTCCCAAGCCTCCTAAGCACCTGTGGCGAGTGACGCGTGCTACACATTCGGACGGTATCAACTTTAAACATTCACCATTTCAACACTAATAAATTATTAACCCTGTGATTTTCCAGAAAACTTCTTTGGTCCATAATGAACAACTTTCTCACTGAAAGTTCTTTGTTACTTAAAATTCGCCCGTTAAACGAGAGCCGTGAAGATTGTATTTTATGTTTTTTACATTAATAAAGAAAAAAATTAACAACAGTTTTGTTTATAAAGAAAATAAATTTTTTCCTTTTTTATCATTCGTAGAATATCTTTAGACGTATTTTCTTTTTTGGTACATTGAAAAATATTTAAAATCATCTGAATTATCGCGAGTTGAAGTGAAAAATGTCATTAAATTTGCAGTTTTCAAAAAATCAATTTTTCTCAAATATTTCGAAAACGGTTATAGATACAAAAAAATTTTATAAGAAAAAAAGATGCGCAATGAAATTTTTTATAAGGATGTGTATTTAAAATATTAAAATTCAAAAATTGAATTTTAAGTGTCTAGGGGACTTCGATTTCAGCCGAGAAAAATTTACGTGCCCTTCTACGATCCAGGTGCTCAATTATATAAAAAATTTTTATTAGAAAAAAAGTTTCGCCTTGAAATTCTGTACAAGAAACAATAATTTAAAATTCATTTTGAACAACTTCAAAATTTTATCTCCAGGGGCCAACTTTTTTGCCGTGCGCTCGCGCGTGTACCCTTTTAATATCCGGAGCCTCAATTAGTAACATTTTTTACTAATTTCTAGTAGTTTTTTACTAATTGCTAGTAGAAAATTACTAATTCAATTAGTAAAAGGGATTTTCTACTATTTCAAATTAGTAAATTTTCTACTAATAATTAGTAAAAAAAACTACTAAAAATTAGTAAAAAATGTTACTAATTCAATTGGTAAACGAATCCGCACTATTTCATTAGTAGAAAATTACTAATTTAGATTTAGAGAGTATCCTTGCGATTGTTTTTTATCGGTAAGACGGTTTGAAATAAAATGCCTCAGGTATTTTAGATGGCTGCTTACAAGACGAGACGTCTAGTGAGCAGCCCTATATTAAACTATAATTTTAATTACTTACGTCGGAAGTTCCATTTTTTTGTTTTAGTTTTTCAATCAGTAAATTGGCGGCATTTTTTTGACTACTTGACCTTTTGGCAGGTGAATCAGTCTCCAATCGAGGCTAGAAATAAGCAATATTAAATTAATAATAGGTCCCGTAAATTGACGTCGACTCTGAGCATCCGCGGAAAGAAAATGTATATTAAATTTTGTAAAAGTGTTTCCCAATTTGGGAAAATATAATGCGACAAAGCGAAATTTTGATATAAAAAATACTAAACTTTAAAAAAGCTTAAGTGAAATTTAGTATAATTATATCAAACATCATGAATTTTAATATAACTTTACTAAATTTTATACTATTTCTTTCACTGTTTAGTATTTTCTATATCAAAATTTCTGTTTGTTGCAGTTTTTTCCTGAATTGTCAAAAAACTTTTACAAAATTTATTATATAATTTCTCTCTGTCTCGAAAAATATTTTTCGATTATGAGTGTCGATGACAACTTGAATTTTATTAAATAATACAACGAAATTTACAAATTACCTTCTTTGGGGACGGTTCATTTTTTTCAAATTCGAACTCATCGGACGATGAATGCAGGCTTATTGACTCCTTGCCATTATCGGAATCTTCGTCTTCAACGGCCTTTAATAAAAATATATTAAAATATATTAGTAAACTAATATATATATATAACAATTTTATTGCGTATATTTATTTGCATTTTCTTAAAGTTTTATTTCTCATAAAATATTAAATAAATTAAACTAGTCTTTTGTAACTAACTCTAAATTGTAATGAAGAAGGGCAGTGATGTGCAAAAGTTTTAATAATTCAAAAATAAATTATAAAAAAAGTACTTTGAAATCGGTAAAGACGAGAAATTGATTAATAAGTAGCTGTAATAACTGACAATTTTAAAATAATTTGCAATAAATAATTTTAAAAATATTACAATTTTTGCATATCACTGCCCTTCTTTATTGTATTTTAGAGTTATGCCCAAAACACTACCTTAATTTATTAAATATTTTATGAGAAAAAAGGTTTTAAAAAATTATTTGAAAAATTACTCTAAGTACACCCAGAAAAAAATATTATTTAAACCAAATATATTTTATTTGAGTTAAATAAACGTATGTTTGTCTCAGAACCAACTAGACTTTTTATTTAATTAAAATAAAAATTTTATTCGACATAAATAAAACATATAATTTGAGCCAAATAGATTTTTATTTAAACCAAATGAAATTTATTTGAGCCAAATAAAAAGTGTAGTTGGTTCTGAGACAAATGTATCATTACTTTGGGTGTAAAATGTTTTTAACTATAGACACCCAATTGTTTACAGGTTTGAAATATTTTTAATGAAGTACAAACCATATTAAAACCAATCTACTTTGTACGGCCATCTCCATCAGTAGTAGAGCTACACGGGTTCTGGCCCAGTTACCGACCGTCGGTAAGGTAGATTTCCTAATAGCTCACTTTCAGGTGGGTTAGAAGGGGTGTTCTACCTTACCGACCGAGTTTTTAGTACCGGCCGCCACCGCTAGATGGCGCCACTTTATTTTTTGTTCAATTTAAACCCCCTTAGAGGGGTAATAAAATTTTTATTTTCAAACTTTCAAGTGGGTTAGAAGGGATGTTCTACTTTACCGACATCTATGTTCAGGCTGCCACCGAGAGATGGCGCCACATGTAAATTCTGACCCCCTTGGCGGGAAATTTAAAATTTTTTTTAATTCTGTTGGTGTGGAGTGATTTTAAATTTCACGCTTAAATTGACAGCAAATTCAGTTCGAGCTGTTACCAATAGATGGCGTTATTATTTTACTCTTTCAAATTTAAATATATATATATTTTTTTTAATTTTACGTTGATACAATAATATCCGCGGTATTTTTTGTTATATCAGATAATACTATTTAATTCTAATATCCATATTAAATGTTAGTTTATTGTATTGAATATCATTATTGAATTTAAATAATTGACATGGTAAACAATATTATTTATGTGCTTCTGTTTTAGTTATTGTTTAAATTTCATTTCACTTAATTATAATTTTAGTTTATTTATTTATTGTATGGTATTTTTTAAATAGCCAATAATGATATTCGTTTGAAATTCAAACCCGATTCTATTGGTGGGAAAATTGGAATAAAAGCCAACTTTGTAAAAATTAAATAAGTTGGCAGCAGTGCTACCTTGTGATCTCTCTACCTCCTGTCATTAGCAGTCGAATGTTAGAACCGTGTGCTTTAAAAACGTGTGTTTTAAAACGTGTGTTTAAAACGTGTGCTTTAAAATTATTCTTTGAAAAATAAAAATGGTATGTATAAATAAAAATTAGAAGTATTTATATTGATGTAATATTAATGAATTAATTAATTAAATCATTCATATATATTTTTTTTTCTTATTGCAGAACTTTAATCCACCACTCTTTTGCCGTTGTTGTTTTTGCCGCTACATGGCCACAATAACATTGGTAAATATTTAAAATAATCATGTGTTTTATTTAAAATAAATTGATGTAGGTATTAAATTATCTGTAATAAATGTGTTTAATTTTTTTTTCAGGTAAATCCTGGAACGTGCCAATGGAACTCAAATGTTGTACCTCAGATACAATATCAACAACCACCAAGGGCATACTCGAGGCCAATAATGAGACCTTCAACCATTCAAAATAATAGTGTCATCCAAACAATGAATGTATCGAGGACTCTGGAAATAAGAAAATCAAATGTTAACGATGTGAGTTAAAATCAATTTCTTTTAAATTAAATATAAAGTTTAGTCTTTCAAATATTTTTCTATCTTACATTATTTTGGTCAATTTTTATCATATTAATTTTTAATTTCTATTTTATAATTTTTCTTAATCTTAATATTATTTCATTAATTTTTTAATTTACATTTCAATATTTTTATTCATATTATTTTTTAATATTTTTTTTTTTTATTGTTTTTTAATTTACATTTTATATTTTTTTATTAATATTTTAGTCAATTTTGTTAATATTATTTCATCATTTTCTTTTTTTTAATTTACATTTTTTTTTTTTTTTTTTTTTATTATTACTAGTTCGGTCAATTATTTGTTGTATTTATTTGTTGTATTTATTTTTTGTTAATTTTATTTTGATCAATTTTTTTGTTGTATTTATTTATTTTTTATATTTTTTGTTAATTTTATTTTCGTCAATTTTTGTTGCATTTATTTTTTTATATATTTGTTAATATTATTTTCATCAATTTTTATTATTGTTATTCTTTTATTTTTATTTTCCAGTTCATAATTTTTCTTAGTATTAATATTATATCATCAAATTTTTATAATATTTATTTTTGATAGTAAATTCTACATTTTCTTTATTTTATTCTGACATACTATTCTTTATACTTAAATTTTTTCACTAATTTAACAAATTTAATATTTATAGGAGAAAGAAAATGTACAATGCCGAAAGTCTCGATGGGAACCAGCTGATGACTGTGTTCTAATATTGGAAAAAAATCCATCTGCAAAAAAGTTGGAACAGTCAGCTCCATCAACTTCAGCAGTGAGATCACCGCCTACTTCAAGTTCCTTAATTTTGAAAAAGAAAAAGTTGGAACAGTCAGCTCCATCAACTTCAGCAGTGAGATCACCGCCTACTTCAAGTTCCTTAATTTTGGAAAAGAAAAAGTTGGAACAGTCAGCTCCATCAACTTCAGCAGTGAGATCACCGCCTACTTCAAGTTCCTTAATTTTGGAAAAGAAAAAGTTGGAACAGTCAGCTCCACCAACTTCAGCAGTGAGATCACAGTCTTCTTTAAACTCCTCGTCTTCTTCAAGTTCCTCATCGTCTTCTTCAAGTTCCTCGTCATCTTCTTCAAGGTCCTCGTCTTCCTCAAGTTCTTCGACTTCATTATCGTCAACAAATTTAGCGTCAAATTCAACGCCAAATCAGCCAACGATGTCATCAACAAATTCAGCGTCAAATTCAACGCCAAATCAGCCAACAATGTCATCAACAAATTCAGCGTCAAATTCAACGCCAAATCAGCCAACAATGTCATCAACAAATTCAGCGTCAAATTCAACGCCAAATCAACCAACGATGTCGTCAACAAATTCAGCGTCAAATTCAACGCCAAATCAGCTAATGATGTCATCAACAAATTCAGCGTCAAATTCAACGCCAAATCAGCCAACGATGTCATCAACAAATTCAGCGTCAAATTCAACGCCAAATCAGCCAACGATGTCATCAACAAATTCAGCGTCAAATTCAACGCCAAATCAACCAACGATGTCGTCAACAAATTCAGCGTCAAATTCAACGCCAAATAAGTCGACTTCAAGACATACGACTTCGAGAACAATTTTGATTGAAGACGAGTATTTGTGTAAAAAAAAATTGACTCGTCCAAATAAAGTTGCCACTGGTAAGAGACGAAATCCAAGTCATGAAAAAGAAGTACCAAAGAAAAAAAAGAAATAATTTTCCATTCTTTGTTTAAAAAGAAATATTTAAGAGGTATAGTTTTTGGATGAGTCAAACCTTATTTTTTACATTCCTTTTTTTTTTTTTTCATTTTTTAAAATTCTTTAAAAATAAACTATTTTTTAAACTGTCTGAAAGTGTCATTTGAACATAAAATTTAATATTTTGTTTATTTGTTTTTGTTTTAACGTTTTTTTAAGGTTTTGAAAATTTTTTCCTGTTAAAAAAAAAATAAATTTTGTTATCTTTACACAAATAGAAACAATGTGACACTAAGTTAACAATTTATATATATATATGTATATTATATTATTATAAAATAATAAAGAAACATTGCGACTGTATAATTATTTATTTATTCACATTTTAAATTTAAAAAAAGTCAAATCATATATAAAATTTGTTTTTATAATTGAAATGTTTATTCCAAGCAATCTATTTTATCTCTCAATTAAAATATTAATATTCTTCAAAATAACTTTACACGAATCAAATTTTAAAGTTTCAAATTAGAATTTCAACTTGACAAAGTTGTGTTTAATAATACCTTTCTTATAATTAAGCATATGTTAGGTTTTTGTAATAATTCTTATTTTAAAAAAATTATTCTGAATTTTACAACTATTTTCCAAAAATATTTCAGTACTCGAAAATATTTATTATTATTATTTCGATCAACACTCAAGTATATTGGCTGTTTATTGCGATTTTTATCACAAAGTGTCATTTGTCCATGAACACCAGTGTAAATGTACACACTCAAATTATTACTAATGACAAATTTTTGAATTGCAGTTTCAATATATTTCCAATTACCAGAATTAAATGATGACCATTGTGGCGCAGCGTTCGCTAATGTGAATGTGGAATTTTGTTCAATTGAATAAACAAAATCAGATTTCGCAGCCAAATGTCCACGTTGTAAATGATATTTGTTTAAATAATTGTGAGCTAATTTTTTCGATTTGAGAATAATTGTTAAAATTTCCATTTGATTTTTCCTCGTGTAGAGGGAATTTATATTGTGACCTGGAAAGAGATTGTGACTCAACCAACTAGGTCTGGGACTGTTAGTTTGATACCAACCGATACTTTTCCTCATTTCCGCTTTCACATAATATGTTTCATGAGTTCTGTTATCACGACAAATTTCCAGTATTGATATAAACTTTTTTTTTTTCAACTTGAAAGCCAATATTGATTTTTGATAAATTATAATTGTGACACGTCTCGTCATTACTATTAATTTTGGCAATAGTTTTGTATGATTTTTTACAAACAAAAGAATTAAATGAATAAATTTTCTTTCTTATGGAAAATAAATTTTTTCTTTTGCATTTGACTTTTTGGATATTTTTTAGCATTGAAGTTGAATTTAATCCATTATTATTGCCCAGACAGACTAGAAGAATTGATTGTTCAGTTTGGAATTTCAATGCACCGCTTTCGTCTGGATAAATAAATTGGAAAGAATTGTTTAAAATTAGTGGTTGCGGTTCTTTTAGATCTCCTGTTTTATAATCTATTGTTATTTGGCAACCTCTTTCTGTAATTTTGAAATAAATTTATTTCTTCCATTTATTTCGTGTGAAAAGAGTAGTTTTGGAATTAACGGTTGTGAAAAATAGAGGAATTGAGAAACAAAGAGTTTTAGAACGATTAAATACTATATAAACTTTTTAAATATTTAATTTACATTTTTAACTGTTACTGGTATTTAATTTTCTTTTTTCAAATAATTTTTATTGAAAGAGTGAATTTAAATGTTGAAATTTAAATTTGTGAATTTACGTTCCTAAAGTTTCGAACATTTAAATGAATAATATCTTTCTTATAATTAAGCATATGTTACGTTTTTGTAATAATTCTTATTTTTAAAAAATTATTCTGAATTTTACAACTTTGAATTTCTAAAAGTAGGATAATTTGTTACTTGTTCATATTAAATTAATTGAAAAAAGTATGTTTAAAATTATGCATTTTAAATAATGTAATTGATATATTAATTATCATTATTTTATTGTTATTAAATATACTAATAAAAATTATTATTATTATTATTATTATTATTATTATTATTATTATTATTATTATTATTATTATTATTATTATCTACAATGAATATATGGATATATTCAAAAACCCCGCGTATCGCAACTTGTTACGGAGAACCGCCGCATGGAGATGCTGCTTTCACTACTGTAACGATGCATAGTGGGGGAGCGCTGTGGTGGGGAGCGCCGTGGTGGGGATCACCACAGTGAATGAGTGCAGTGCGCCAGCCACCAAACTCATTCTTCTTTCAGCTTTCATCATTGTAGGTTTCTCTTCCTTACAGGTCTCTTCCTTACAGGTCTCTTCCCTCCAGGTCTTTCTTTCCTCCAGGTCTTTCTCTAAATTTTTTCTTTCTTTTCACCAGGTCTTTCTTTCCTCCAGGTCTTTCTCTCCTCTAGGTCTTTGTTTCTTCCTCTTCTCCAGGTCTTTCTTTCCTCCAGGTCTTTCTCTCCTCTAGGTCTTTGTTTCTTTCTCTTCTCCAGGTCTTTCTTTCCTCCAGGTCTTTCTCAAAATTTTTTCTTTCTTTTCACCAGGTCTTTCTTTCCTCCAAGTCTTTCTCTCCTCTAGGTCTATGTTTCTTTCTCTTCTCCAGGTCTTTCTTTCCTCCAGGTCTTTCTCTAAATTTTTTCTTTCTTTTCACCAGGTCTTTGTTTCTTTTTCTTCTCCAGGTCTTTCTCTAAATGTTTTCTTTCTTTTCACCAGGTCTTTCTTTCCTCCAGGTCTTTCTCTAAATTTTTTCTTTCTTTTCACCAGGTCTTTCTTTCCTCCAAGTCTTTCTCTAAATTTTTTCTTTCTTTTCACCAGGTCTTTGTTTCTTTCTCTTCTCCAGGTCTTTCTCTAAATTTTTTCTTTCTTTTCACCAGGTCTTTGTTTCTTTCTCTTCTCCAGGTCTTTCTTTCCTCCAGGTCTTTCTCTCCTCTAGGACTTTGTTTCTTTCTCTTCTCCAGGTCTTTCTCTAAATTTTTTCTTTCTTTTCACCAGGTCTTTGTTTCTTTCTCTTCTCCAGGTCTTTCTCTAAATTTTTTCTTTCTTTTCACCAGGTCTTTGTTTCTTTCTCTTCTCCAGGTCTTTCTTTCCTCCAGGTCTTTCTCTCCTCTAGGACTTTGTTTCTTTCTCTTCTCCAGGTCTTTCTCTAAATTTTTTCTTTCTTTTCACCAGGTCTTTGTTTCTTTCTCTTCTCCAGGTCTTTCTCTAAAATTTTTTTTTCTTTTCACCAGGTCTTTGTTTCTTTCTCTTCTCCAGGTCTTTCTTTCCTCCAGGTCTTTCTCTCCTCTAGGACTTTGTTTCTTTCTCTTCTCCAGGTCTTTCTCTAAATTTTTTCTTTCTTTTCACCAGGTCTTTGTTTCTTTCTCTTCTCCAGGTCTTTCTCTAAAATTTTTTTTTCTTTTCACCAGGTCTTTGTTTCTTTCTCTTCTCCAGGTCTTTCTCTAAATTTTTTCTTTCTCTTCACCAGGTCTTTCTCTCTAAATTTTTCTTTCTTTCCTCCAGGTCTTTATTCTCTCTTTCTCGTATAGATCTTGTTTCTCTTTCACTCTTACAGATCTTTTTTTCTGTTTATTTTAATTTTTTATTTCTAAAATTAATTTTATTCATTATTAAAAAAAATTTCTTTTCTTTTAGAAAAAATAATAATGAATCCATATAATCCTCCATCCAATTGCCAAAATCAGCTAGAGGAAGAAGAAGAAAATGAAATTACTATTTTTGACGATAGTAGTCATGATGAGGATGATGATGATGATGATGAGGATGATGATCATGTCGATGATGCGTCCATGATCATCATTTATGATGAGTATGCTCATAACAATTATGAGGATGACGACGACGATGACGACGACGACGACGACGACGATGACGGATATGACAGTGTGGGGGAGACAATCATCATCAGCGATGATGATGACGACGTCCTGATAATAGATATCGATCCTAAGGAAGTTAGTTGATACTTTTTATTCTATTTTAAATTAACTTTAAAAAAAATATTACTTTCATTTAAATTAACTTTAACCATATTTTTAATTTTTTTTTTTTTAGATGTCGGAGTATATTGAAGATTATCATGAAAATTATTAAATTTTATTTTAAATAAAAAGAAATATTTTTTAAATTAAAGCATTAATTTTATTTCCTTAAATTTTATCGCGCATGGTGTAAGCGCATATTAAGGTGGGGATAATTTGCGTGCGCATTCGAAAGTGTAGTGGGGTTAGAGATAAAAAGTGGGGTTGCAGCAATATAAGGCGAGTTTCAAAGCCACCAAGTCATTATTATTTCAGGTTCTTGAATTAGCAGTAAGTATAAACATTAATCTATTTTCTAAGTTTCTTTTTCAGCTTTATTTTCTAAGTTTCTTTTTCAGCTTTATTTTCTAAGTTCCTTTTTCAAATACATTTTTTCTAAGTTTCTTTTTCAGCTTTATTTTCTAAGTTTCTTTTTCAGCTTTATTTTCTAAGTTTCTTTTTCAGCTTTATTTTCTAAGTTTCTTTTTCAGCTACATTTTCTAAGTTTCTTTTTCAGCTACATTTTCTAAGTTTCTTTTTTCAGCTTTATTTTCTAAGTTTATTTTTCAGCTCCATTTTCTAAGTTTCTTTTTCAGCTACATTTTTTCTAAGTTTCTTTTTTTTTTCAGCTTTATTTTCTAAGTTTCTTTTTCAGCTACATTTTTTCTAAGTTTCTTTTTCAGCTTTATTTTCTAAGTTTCTTTTTCAGCTTTATTTTCTAAGTTCCTTTTTCAGCTTTATTTTCTAAGTTCCTTTTTTCAGCTTTATTTTCTAAGTTTCTTTTTCAGCTACATTTTTCTAAGTTCCTTTTTCAGCTTTATTTTCTAAGTTTCTTTTTCAGCTACATTTTTTCTAAGTTTCTTTTTCTAAGTTAGTTTTAAAAACTAATAATTTTTTTTATTACAGTTCTTTGTTTTCTCTTCTTTTGTTCAAGGTTTTCTTACAGCTAAAAAAAAAAAAATGGATCTAGAAAAAGTCAACTCCGTAGGGCGTTTTGAAGGTTACCTGCCGACGAAGCCGCTTGCGGAATTGATGAAAGATGGATTGTACTACGTCTCAAAGATGAAGAAGGTCCAGACCAAATATGGACCAAGGATCATTGTTGAAATTGATGCTGATTTCGTCACATACTTACCAACAAGATTCATCAAGCTCTTTGAGGATGAACCCACCACATTGGACATGATGAAAGAAGCTGCGATATCGAAGAAACTTCAAATGAAGTATCTTGGAGGACCATATAATATTGTTGAGTTTAAATTGTTATAATTTTTGTTAAAAAAAATGTATATATATTTAAAAAAATTTTGATAAAATAAACACACAAAGTTTTACCTATAAATTGGTTTTAAATTTACTTTCCTTCTCTTAGTATAAGTTTTATTTTCAGAAATTATAAAAGAATTTAAATTAAATTTTAAAGGATAGGTTGTTTTTGAAATTAAGAAGCATTGTTTTTAAATTAATAACATTTATTTTTGAAAACTTAATAACTATATTTACAAAAAAGATTCACAATTTTCATAAAAAGATTTTAAAGTAGAGTCAACTTCATCAATTCCATTAGCAATAGTACTTATATATTGGTTTGGAGGATCCAAAAACCAATCGCGTAGAATTTTAACATTTTTTACAGCACAATTTTCACTACAAAAAGTATGATGCGTACACGTCGTTAACAAATCAGACTTAATTTTTTTCAACGATGGACAATTAAAATCTTCCAAGTTTTGTACGTTGAGTAAATATTTTTCTAGCCAATTCTTTTTTTCTAAACCTTTAACGTAAATTACACTTGCACTTCGAAGTATATCTTGTAGAATTGGTCGAAGTTCATCGTATGAGACGTCTCCAGCTGTCCAATGGATTCCATGGTAATTATGTGTTAGCCAAAGATTTTCACTTTTGTAGCGTCCTGGCAGTGAATTCCAAGGACAAGGAGGTTCAAAAAGGTAGACGAGAGGCTGTGCATCTGGTTGAAGAGGAAGTATCGCCAACTCTTTAAAGACAAACTCGTTGTTGGCTCTTTTAAAACCTTGAACGTCTACGATAAACTCCATTTTGAAGTAGAAA